AGAAATTTTACATACGACCGAGCTGATATGATTTTAGTCACTTTACAGCAAACTATCGGTCGCTGCACTTCTAACTAGATTTCATAAATGGTTACGTCATAAACTGTGTAGACATAACGCTCATTCATAACGTCCACACTAGATTGTTATCATAATGTCAATACCGAAAAATACGGTTGAACAACAGTGGTATACCTATTGCGCTGTCGATTTAAGACCCCTAAAAATGAAGATTTAAAGGACAAATTTAAACTTCTTTTTCTGACGCAGTCAGTATGGTAACGGCATGCATGATGTCACAAATCTTTACTCGGATTGGACCAAATAACGGAATTGAACAAAAACCAACAAAAAGATATATTCTACAATAAAAGGAAAACATTACGGACATAACATCAAACTTAAAAGAAATTATCCAGATAAATAAAAAATAAATTCAGGCGTCCGTCCGTTCCCGATATACACACCGAAATAGGTTGTACATGTATCTCTAATTAAGGTCTTTCCTTTCTCTATAAGAAAAGACCTTACTGAATTTCTTCTGATTTTTATTATTCTTTCCGCCAAACTTTAACGACATTTCCCAAAAAAAGTACGCGACATGTTGAAATGATATTAGGTATCAAGTATTGGTTGACCAAAAGCTATTTTGTGGTTAGGGCACCACGCCGTAACATTTCCTTCATAGCGGTTATCTCCCCTAACACCGAAAACCTTGTTATTATTCAAACACCGTAACCATTATAGGTAGAAAAAAACCAAAGGGTGGAATTTGTTCAGGACCAGCCCCTGGTTCTTCGTTACATTTGGATCGAAAAGATTTAACGACTCATTGGTAGGGTTATGCCATTTGAAAATTAACCGATGTCGGTTGGCCACTAAAACTCAGAAACCGTAAGTCGTAACCACCTATGATCTTCACCAATGATCATCAATTCATGTGACCTTGAAAATGCCTCAAGGTAAAAATTTTACGTTGACCTTGACCTTTGATCTTACACCTTGTTATGGGATGATCACAGAAACCATTATACTTACATAAGTCTTGAATAGTGGAAAATGTTAGGTCATTAAGGCGCAACTTTGTTACATTTTGACCGAAGAGATTTGATCTTGCCGTAAGGGGCATAACCCCCGTGAACGGTTACTGAAAAGACAAAATTAGCTTTAACTATTAAACCAAAGGTCCTAGACCCATGGGGTCTTTTGCAATGACATCGCGGACCAATGACCTTGACAAAGGTCACAAGGTCAAGGTCATGTCCCAGATAGCAAATTATGTGTTTTTGACCTTACGTAAAGTGTTTTAACTGTGATTTAAAGCTTTTTAAGGTTGACCTTGACCTTTGACCTTTCATTTTTTATGGGATATCTCACAAACCATTATACTTACAGAAATCATGAATAGTGAAAAAATATTTGGGTCGTTAAGGCGCAACTTTTTAACATTTTGACCGAAGAGATTTGACCTATCTGTAAGAGGTATAACCTCCGTTAACTGTTTTTGAAAAGACGAAATTAGCTTTAACTCTTGAACCAAAGATTCTAGACCCATGGGTTCTTTTGCAATGATATCGTGGACCAATGACCTTGACATAGGTCATAAGGTCAAAAGTCAAGGTCATGTCCCAAATTGCGAATTATGTGTTTTGATTCATGGTTTGTTTTAAACTCTATGCTCACATCTGAATGCGTCAGATATCTTTTTTTAAGATAGTACTTGTTTTCTTTTTTAAATAATTAAAAAAAATTGGTATAGGCATCAATTTGCCAATACATTCATGCAAGTAAAATTACACGTCCATTATAAGTCCTTATATTTGTTATTACATTTAAAGAAAGTTTATGACCAATGATTGATATTCATTTTTTCGTTGTAAAAGCGTTTTAGTGATGGTTATATTTCATTCATTGAAATGTGAGACGTCACTGCAAATTAATAGACATGTTAGTTCTTAGTGCGTAGAGGCAGAGTATCATATTCAACCGTCGAATTCGATCGAATGCTTAGTTGTTAGATTGAAGCTATTTTTTTTCCTGTATTTTTTACCAACAAATTTATTTTCCAGTTTTTGAAATTGGATAAAAATTCAGACTATTTCTGCATCATAGTGAACTGAATTCTTAACACTATTTAATCATATTTTCGAATATATATAGTCATATTGTAGATGCCTACAGATGGCTCAAAATTGTAATCTTAATACATTTTCGAGCATTTTCTGAATTATTTTATTGACTGTTGTCTTTTCGTCGTTTTTATTTATGACAATGGCGCTGCCTGTTGACTTGTGGTATTTAATTACCACCTTGGATATTGTTCCTCTTTTAAATTTGTCTGTTCAAATTTAAAATTATGTCTCGGGACGAGATAAAATAGTACCACCTTTTCCCAATCTTTGATTCATTTCAGACATCAGGTTAACTCTTGATTTTTTTCTCCAAGTTTAGTTCAGATTTATTTACCATACTTGATACTATTGTTGATCGAAGATAATGATGCCTTATTCCTTGGGCAGCTGATACATCATTGTCAATATAATTCGGATTAAAGAGTCAGATAGTTGATGGTGATCATTACATATAATTGATATATAATGTTCGACATTTGGACTTATAGTCATTCTTGCAATCTTTACCCATCTCATTCGTACCCCACTTTCTGAACCAGAAGGCATTTGGTAATGGGGAATCCGTTAGTTGGTTTGTTTGTCCGTTTGGCCTCCCGTCCAACTTTTGTATCCGCAATTGTTCCTGAACAGCTCGGCAGAATTTTTTGAAACTCTCAACAGAATCTTACTTACATGATGGTTTTGTAAATCCTATTTTCTTTCTTTTTTTCTTTCTTGTTTGCCACAGCAAATCATGGACTTTTCATTACTGTTTCTGTTGTCCCCTTTTATATTGCAAATTCTCCTAAACCATTTTTATGATTTAGTGAAACTTTCTCAGATTCGTAACCATATAAAGCCATTGTGCACCCCCTTTTTTCTTTCTTGATTCGAATTATTTTTAAAGTTTTCCAAGAGAGCCATATATTTTGTCATTCCTTTATGTGGGAGTTGGGTATCAATATGTGAGCTTTACTCACAATGCCACTTTACTTTTGTATTATTTCAGTTGACGGAAAAACTTTAATTTAAATGTGAATCTATCAGTCATACATACATGGCTAAAAGATACACACATTGTGTTTTTGTGACAAGTTTAACAAATTTAATATCAACAAATGTACAAGTACTAGAAGGAAAATATTCAATCTCCAAAAAGTCCATGTCCATTAACACTGGTCACTCACTTTAAAAATCACTTTAAAACGATCGACAAGGAAACATAGTTCTGTCTTGAAGCAAGAACTTTCTAAACCTTTCACTTGTTTGACAATTATTTCGGTTTAAATTATCTAGGAGTCTCGGGATAAAAATCTGGTATTCTGGTATTGACTTAAAGAAAAATAAGTTTAAATTCCCTAAACACATAAACACATAAGGAACCAACCATTCAACTTTGGCGGATGTATTTTTCCCCGACACCCCCCCTTTAAAAAAAAAAATCAAATCAATTTATTTTCAATAACAGGAACAACATTTTCTTAAATCAATGATTGTTTTACCTAAATTTCCAGAAACAAACTATTTTTCACTTCCCTCTAATAATTAATTATTTTTTCCCAAGAAATTTTGAATCGAACCATATTTTCTTCATGCATGCCCACAAAAGACGAATGGTACGTGTCTAAATAATATCTCCTCTTATTTATTGCATAAACAAGCAAATAACCTCTTTATCATGACAATCTCTTTTTGTAAAAATATCGTATTACGATACATAAGTCTATTAATTTAATACTTGAAATAATTCCATATCAGTGCCAAACAAAATATTGTCTGTATAAATGTAGTAATCCATTGGTGAAAGTTGAATGCTTACTGAAAAAAACTGCTCATCTTACAATTGAAGGACGAAAGAAATAGTGATGTATTTATTGCGGTACTCATTTATCAAAAGAAAACAATTCCAGGAAAAGCGGGAAACGCTAAGTTCGTCTTTCTTAACCTTTACAATGTTGTCATAGTGACCTTTTGTGAAAGCAGTGTTGACCATTTACGGTGCAACCAAATAGAGACACATTAATTTATCTAATAGAAAAGAATAACAAATGAGAATTCTAAGAAAACAGAACACAGCAGTAGTTCCATAAATCATCTAGTCACCATTCTAAGACGTGTACCCGTGAGGAATGATTAAATTCATTTATGCAATATTGTATATGTTTTTCCTCAGCAGACGACAGGTTCAAAACATCAATCTTTATTATTACTAATTCCCGCGTGAACTGCAGCAACACTTAAGTGAATTCCTATATCGTCTATATGATGTAATATTACATAAAATCACGCAATTTTCATCTTTAATCTACGAAAAAAGTAATATTGTCTAAAAGAGAATACGTATTTATACGATGATCAAACAATGAAGGATTCTGTCCAAGAATTACGGTGGAGTTATTGTTTTGGTATGGAAATGAAAACAGCGAAAACAATTCGGCACAGTAATAACATGTAATTAGTCTTTTCTGCATCTTCCCAAAAAAAAAGTGCATTAGTTTTGCAGTAATCAAGTAAGAAATACTCAATTAACGTGAAACGAAAAAGAAAATATTGATAAAAATGAGGGGTGGACAGCTTTTGAGGGAGGTGGGAGGTGGGGGCGGGAGGTGGGAGAAGGGGAAGCGGGAGGTGGGAAAAGGGCGGGCAGGATGTGGCAGGAAGGGGGCGGTAGGTGGGAGACAAAACAAAGGTGGGAGAGAAAAAAGATTCTAAAAGTGGGAGGTGGGAGATAGGGGCGGGAGGTGGGAGAAAGGTACCCCCTGCCCACCCCCTCAAACATAAATGTATGAAAAGATTGTCCTCGACCTTGATGAAAATACACATTAGAAAACAGATAATTTTGACGTAAACAGATTGAATAAAACAATTGTCATTCATATTTCTTTTCAGGTACAGCCAGAGGAACTTTGTCATGTATGCAGCGTCTATACCGGTCGTGAGACGTACCCTTGTCGTATATGCTATAAAGTTTACCACGAAGGCTGTCTAAGGAAACTAGGACAGTGCAAAGATCCTGCTTCCTCAGCCTTGTTAAAACGAGCCGTGAAACCTGTTGGATGGAGCTGTCATAAATGTGTAAGTGAGAAATGTCCAGCGTGATCAGTCTTTTGCTCATACTGCTAACAGTACAAGTATAAACTATCTTTACATAAAAAAAATAAATGTGTTGCAGATGTCAAATCAACAAAAAGATGAGTCAACCCATTAGATAGATGAGTCAACCCATTAAGTATATGAGTTATTTAGAGGTGCTTTTTCCATACAATCATTAAAATTGCAGATCGAATGGTTATATAAAATTTCTTCGTTTAAGAATCTTAAGGACCTTTGGCTTTTTTTCATTGGTTGTACACCAAAATGAAAGTAGCGTTACGTCTTTAGTAGGATATCCATTGTATATACCATTGTCCGTAAATCTTTTGAAGAGATGAAATCAACTTTGCCAATAAGAACCCTTTGTTCTGTAAGTAGCGACCATCTATCAATTAATCACGATAGGAAAGGCAATTACAGGATCTTTGAGAAACCGCTGGAAATGGAAAGTTCAGAATGGTAAATCGAAGAGATCTCTAACGTCGTAAAGTTTAGTTCTCAGCTTTCTCATTTGTCAATTGATAGATGAATGACAAAAATTCGGCTGTTTTCTGCTCTTTGGTCGGGTTGTTGTCTCTCTGACACATTCCCCATTTCCATTCTCAATTTATGAATTAACTGTACCTGTAGTATATTTATTTCAGTTTCAATGGGATAAGATGTGATCAACATAGTCACCACACATTTGAATTAGTGATAGCAATGTTGAAATAACATAAAAATGGCGGTTAAACCATATTTCGAATCAGAATAATTATCTCCTTCTGTTTTGACAGGATAACCTGAGTAATGTTTTAACAGAAGAAGAAATGGGTAATTTAATGTCATTGTTTGAACGACACGAAGTCATGCGAGGTAGGCATGTATAACAACATTTCATGTTAGACGTAATTATATTATTACTTTTGCTGTCCTTGTAATGTGGAATAGATTCTGCACTATAATTGCTGTACTCTAACAGTAAATAATTTTACAAAATTACAAATATAATTATTGCATTGTTTGTTTTAGGTTAAGATATTAGAACTGTCTTTGTTCTATTGCTTGTAGAACAAGAAAGTGTCAAACAAGTCGCATGCTTCATCGCTATTACCTAACCACAGGCACTTGTCTCAGAAAAAAAATTTCCTATATACCTTAATATAACACTTTTTCTGAGACAAATGCCTGTGTACCTAACCCTATTGGTTAACTAATCGTGTAATGAATATTACTTTAGTTAAACGATTAAAATACACTAAAATACTTAGGTTTGATTTTAAAATGGAAATTCCAAATCTGATTAAAACACAGATTCATGCATCGTTTTCAAGAATTTGACCACGCTCTCTTTTACTTTTTCGTCTGAATATTAAAAGAAGAAGACATAATATGAATGTCAATGAGACAACTATCCACCAGAGACCAAATTGCGACTTGATAAAAAGTAAAACAATTCAAATGAAGAAAACCATAAACGAAACACAAAAATGACAGACATGTAGCAACCGTAGCAACCAACATCAACCACTAAATTATAGGCTCCTGACTTCGGCCAGGAAAATAAAGAATCTAGCGGGATTAAACATGTGTGTGAGCTCCCCTAACCTTTGACAGTGGTGTAACGACACTTATGAAAATCAAACTAAAATATATTTGGAAAGGGCTCACGAAATCGTTACTCGGCACAAAAAACTATTAGAAGGACAAAAGACACAAACCTTGTGCAATGCGAAAATATAAGTATGGACAAAATGGAGGACCGTAAATATTTATTACTGTATAAGAATGCATTTTTGGTTATGCTTTAATTTAGAACATTAAAGTCAATGTTAGTACCGATAAAACAATATTCAAAGATATTATTACAGTCACTGTGTTAAATTGACAACTTTCAAGAATAAGTTTATTCAACGGATCGATAAACTTACATGGATTGTATCTTAGTTTACGGACTCTATAAATACCATCCCCAAAAAAATGAGGATGGGATATTACGTTTGTAATAAGTTTTCTACAAGTACAGCCAAACTACTACACCAAATATTTGTACCTATAAAAGAATTCTTCGGTTTGGTCGTCATGATACACAACTTCACAATTTATGAAATATATTCATTTCATTGGTGGATGTAATAAATAGAAGACCAGAAAATAGAATGATCCGTTGTCAGATTTAGAATCTTAGAAAAAGGGTAAAGTTAGAAAATACACAAGATACTGAACAAGAAACAATGTTGTGATACTATTAACGAACAGAAGCATATACAAATAGATAAAAAAAAAGGAAAACTAGTCTGACAATGAAGAACCGCGTTTTATAATAAAATCATCCCATCATCATTGAAAATATGTGCAGCGTGATCCAGCTGCTAATGATTTATTTTGAAGTGAAGAAACTTGTAATTGTTCTGTAAGCTAAAAACAGAAAAAAAATTATGAAAAAAATAGAAGACTATTTTATCGATGGTCAGAAAAAAACCCCGATAAAACAGGGACAAAGAAGACATTCATTCATTGATAATAAAATCAAAGATAATTAGGTTTGTAGTAAATAGTGTACTGTCACTCAAACATTCTAAAATGTCTACGCCACTGACATTCTTAACAAAAAAATATGTACAATCTATGGAAGTTTCGAGGTTACAGCGTTATTATTGTATGAAAAAAAAAACACACATTGATGAGTTTGGTTAACCCAGAAAAGGTGAATTATTTTCACACAAGAGCTCTGTCATCGTTTACATGAATTACTTTCGCCGTCTATATTCTTAGAGGAGTGTACATGTACTTCGTATAGTAATCTCGTACGAACGGATAATTCTGGAAAAATGAGAAATAATTCAGACAGACATAAACTATTTTCTGTCGCCGGTAATGGGATTTTACACCACTTACTTAATATGTAAATAAACGAATGCATATCATGGATACGGATTTGACTGTACCAACATTACACACCGTTAAGCATATTTTCCACTTAATACTTAGTTGAAAATCTTCCATAGGATATTTATGATGATTTTCAATTTCGGTAATGGTTACCAAGCTAATGTAGTCCACCATCTAACTTGCTCTACAGTGCTCATATAATATATTTTTTCATCTCATTAATGTTTTAATCATACACGCTTTTATGACGTCATTTACTAGTAATTTTTCCTTCTACCGGAAGTTTTTGAAACAATAACTATTGTTTTTAAACAGAAATAAAACACCTTTCCACCAAAAAACAAAGTAAGAAGACCTAAACGATCAGGTAACCATACGGCCTTCGACAATGAGCAAAACCAATGTTTTTCTTAGTATATCTACATGTTTTTCCTTTACATTTGAAGGGGGTTATATTCATTAAGAGAAAAACTCTGACCGAAAATCGTTTTTTTACCAATAATAGATGTCAAATTGTTTACATCGGCGCTTGCATCAAAAGAGCAAATACTTTTGTAGATTTAGCACCTCCAAAAATTTTTAAGCAAAGTATTCATGTACGGTTATTTACTATTTTCAGATTCCAGTATATCATTAGAAGATTATTTAGATTTTCGAAAAAGAGTGTTTAACGAACTTACTAATTCTGAAATGGAACGTGGGCAAATTCAAGAAGAAACCAGGACATACCACCGGGTTGATAAAGATAACACTGGATCAATCACGTGGTGGGAGTTTCTTAATTTTGAAACAACGCGAATATTGCAACAAAGACATAAAGTAAGTAAAAGCAGCAGTTGTATCAGTAAATTTTAGTCTTTGTGATAATCGGACAGAACATTGAATTTAAATCTTTATTAGGACACGTTACTAGTTTCACATGCATATAGTTGAAGATAATTTACAAAGTTGCCGTGAAAAGATTTCATAGGGACAGATAACTATTGTCGACATTTTCACAGGGACAAGAAGTGTAAAAAGAGGATCAAGTTGTAGTATATATATAATAGAAAAACAAAGGAAATGGGGTATCCATCCATGATCGACACAAAATCAGTACACCCACAGCAAAAACACACATAAAGCAAAGACACAGAGCTTTTATTGCTGTATATGTATTATATATAAATAATAATTTTATAATCACTAGTTGCCTTAAATCCTTAAAAGGGCATACTTTTCTTTATTGCTTGTGAAATACATTATCTTGTTTTCAAGACTTGTTTCAAAGACTACGAGTTTGATTTCTTTGACCTTGTCAATACATATCGTTTCTGTAGTACTCTACGTGAATGCAATGATTTAAACGAGTTTGTCACTCAGACGGGCAATCAGAATTAACTTGACCCAAGATAGATCATAACATATATATGTTATCAGACGAAAATACACTTTACTGTTTAAATACAACATAAATATATTTAAGTGTCTATTTTAAGGAACAATGTCAGCATTTATTTTCTTTCATTGGCAATAAATATTGATTTCTAACGTCTGAGTAGATTTTACATTATGGAATATAACAAAAGGTGTCAATGTGCATCATAAATCATTGATATATGTATGCTCTTCCCAATATATACCTGATAATTAGCTCCGGAGAAAATAAAAGTACAAAATAGAGCAATGTGTTAGGTTAAATACAAAAGTTATAGTAGTGGTTGGTGACGTCACAGTAATGATATAGCCTTCTGTTATGTAATCGGATGAATAATAGATGTTTCACTTTAAAGTAGGTATAAAACCATTAATGCATAGCCCATTGCTTTCTATGTTAAATTCTCGAATTTCAGACATTCATAGTTATTTTTCCTTCAGTTTAAACAAAGTGACAGTCCGTTCATGTCAAAACTATATTTTATGACAAAAATGAAAAAATGAGCATACCTTTAATTTTTATAAGAGCGCACTGGTTCCTGAAATATTGGTAGTGCAAACACAGGTACTTCTGATGTAAGAAACGGGCAAATTATACCCTCTTACTTCAATTTCATATTTTTTTTTATTATTCAAAAGAAACTTTCAACAAGGGTTCTACAGTGACCCCAAATCCTTAGGTTTTCATTTGATACCAAATTTATCTAAATATTTTACTTATTTATAAAGTAACAGCTATGTGTAGGAACTATTTTGTTTAAAATATGTACTCCCTTTTTAATATATTCTTTCAGACCAGACCAGAATTAGTGGTTTGATATCTGTAATGTGTATTATTCACAAACAATAATATTTATGTTTACACTTAAAAGTTAAACAAAATTTATTCTTCAAGTTCACAAAATAAACTGTGTATTTCTTGACTGAATCATTAAGTGCCCACAGTGATATCAAATATTTCAAATGAACAAAATTTATAATTGAAAATATTAAAATAAGAAGATGTGGTATGATTGTCAATGAGACAACTCTCCATCAAAGACCAAATGACATAGAAGTTAAAACAAACACAGGTCATCGTACGGCCTGCAACAACGAGCAAAACCCATACTGCATAGTAAGCTATAAAAGCCCTAAAGTATACATTGTCATTGTATTGCGTTAAGTATACATTTTTTTCATAGTTGTTTCGTGTTTATGGCTTATAGAATATTAATATAACTTCAGAATTCATTGCTACATTTACTACACAACCGGGAGATAGAACTAGTCAGACGACTATTCCAGATTTATGACGAGGAACATGGTGGTGTGATATCAGAGCACAACGCACGAAAGGCCATAGCAACATGGTATACATTGTTTCTTGAACCAGATGAAGCACTAAATGGGTAATATGGTATTTCAAATATTATGATATCATTTTAAAATTTGAATAATTTGAATTTATATAGACTCATTTCTGCACAAATAATATACACATTTTCTCTAATGTAGTATCAAATATTTCCTGTTAATTTCATAAATAAAATTTATTCAATTTAATTTTAATACAATATTTGCATGTTTGCAAACATGCAAATATTGTCTATGTACTTATCATTTCCAAGCCGATGTAAATTTTAAAAACGCTGAAATATATCTACACATTTACATTGCCAACCACTTTCAATTTCTTACAAGATATAGCACTCGTAAAAACATTTATTCATGATACCAGAGTAAGCAATTATTTAGAACGCTAGCTGTGCGTTTCGTTTACACAAGTCTAGTTAGTGGCTCTTGAATCAAATCATTTTGAAGGCCGAATCAATTACGAGGTCAAAGAGAATTATAAACAAAAAATCCCCAAAAGTTATATGAAACCTTGCAATAGCATGCGACAGAACAACATGACAGACGGAGAGAAAACAATTGTTGTTTTCATAGAAATGAAGAATTGGAGTATGCCTAATTATACTCAAAAGCACTTTGTAAAGCTTTAGTTTGAAAAAGGCTTATTGGAGAAAAATAAATGACTACTCTATTGTTGATCATAATGCACTCGCAATCTATTCCAATATGTTATACAACTGGGGAAATACTCCTAGCTGTGAACCCTAAAGTTTATAATTGTTATGCTTGTTGGCAGCATGCTATACACAGTAACTTCTTCAATATATCTTCTCATTATAGCCTTTGACGTTTATTTTCTTAAAACATTTCACAAAATATTTACAAGTATCTCAATGAACTTGTAGTAAATGTAAAAAAAAATAAGTTTCTTTAAAGCTTCAAGACGATTCGTTGACGTGGTCGCATACATTGCACTTACTTTTATATGATATATTAGAATTTTTAAGCGTGTTAATGTAATATTACCACTCTTATGTATTAAGTTATATAATAGAACGTAACCCAGGAAAAGCTTCTTCTATCCTCTAGATACTTGTTTATTTATTGATTTAATAGTAAGCAGGATAAATTCATCAATAGTATTTCCAATAAAAGAACAGACAACCGTAGCTTACCAATGTTTACATCCCGTAAATTCATTATAATAATTAAGATAGAAATAACTAAAAACAAGGAAAGCACATGAACTCCAAAGAGTACGAGACCAAGTTCTTTCTGATGGATATAATTTACCGAACGATGAGAAACGATTTGAGACATAACGTTTTTGTTATATAGACATATTAAGAAGGCTTAGACAAGACAGATACTAACAAGTGTAGTTCGAAGACAAACGTGACGACTATTTATATATAGACATATCTGTTATATTTTTATGTGCCTTTTGGGGCAAGTAAACTCGTCAATGAATGCAATTGTCATTTCTTAAAGCTTTTTTTGTTTTTTTTGACAATTCAGTTTTGATGGTGTAGACCTCCGATAGGCTCGGTTATATTTATTTACAACTTTTTCGACAATTGGAGAGTTTGACATAATATATAGACGCTTATCCATTATTGAAAAATGCATGTTGACACAGTGGCGGATCCAGAACTTTTTATAAGGGGAGGCCCGCTCCAGTCATGCTTCAGTGATTCCCTATATAATCAACCAAATTTTTCCCACAAAAGGGGTGGCCCGGCTAGGCTCAATCGACTGGCCCTATCAGTGAAAATGGTTTTATAATTTAAATGTCTGAAAAATTATTACTGTCTGAATATCGCTGAATATTCCTGCGTCCAGACCCTTCTGATACGTTTTTTTCAGATAAGATTAGTTGAGTCTTAAATTTGTTTACGACTTTCTTTATTTCAATCACTAAAGTCGCTATTGCCAATTTGCTAAAGAATTTTACAAAGGAATATAACTTGGTGCTTTACATTGGGTGTAAACAATAGAATAATCTTAACTGATGTACAATTTTGTTACTTATTTAGATATGCAATAATGTCACAAGTGAAAACAGAAGATATAGGAAAGGTGATAACAGAAAATCTAACGTTTACAATGGACGATGAAACGAGCAGCGAAAGGTATCTTACACACTAGATTATTTGTAGAATAAAAATCAAGTAAACTCCCAAGTCAGGAGCCTCTGGCCTTTGTTAGTCTTGTATCATTTTTAATTTTAGTTTCTTATGTATAATTTGGAGTTTAGTATGACGTCCATTATCACTGAACTAGTATACATATTTGTTTAGGGGCCAGCTGAAGGACGCCTCCGGGTGCGGGAGTTTCTCGCTGCATTGAAGACCCATTGGTGGTCTTCGGCTGTTGTCTGCTCTATGGTCGGGTTGTTGTCTCTTTGACACATTCCCCATTTCCATTCTCAATTTTATTGAAAAGTAAAGTCTAATAAAAAGAAAAAACGAAATATTTAGCTAAAACAGATCCAGCTAAAACAGATCCAGCTAAAACAGATCCAGCTATAGAAGCATGCAAACCCTACCGTATGCCATACGTTCAAGTAAAAGAATGTGATGAAAATGAGACTTTTTGTTACAATTATGACAACCCGCATATGATATTAAATTGAATTAGTCACTAAAATATATACTACACGTACTCGGTATTGCATGCTTAACAAACTGACAATCAAGTTTCATATATTACTGATGTATTCGAACAACAGACAACTTAAGAGTTTACGTTAAGTACATATCCATGAACTGGGTCGTCTATATATTGCAACATTATATAATTAAGATTTAGGATCAATTGCATTGAGAGGATACGGCTAGACGGAACAATGTAAGACCAATCTACATTAGTCTGGAGACAATTCACATCCTGATATAACCATTTAAAACATGGTTAATGTATTATACTTGTGTACTTTTATTATATCTCGTGTCAATTTTCTTATTGATAAGCAACCATTTGTTCATGGCTTTGAATATGAACATATGAATAAAGAAACAACAGCACAATTTTAATACCGTTGTCCCTTCACATTTTACATATTAAGGCCACCTCCTTCTTTTTATTTCATTAGTATATTACGTACTTGTTATCTAAAAAATAATTAGACAGCTACTTCAAATATTGCATCAGACGTTTTCAGCAAGATTATCCTATGTTTTCCTTTTTTCTTCAGGACAATGTCATGGAACGATTACCTATTGGAGTTAGCAATATACATTATAGCGGCACGTTCAAATATAAGCCCAGTGCCGGTAGAAGGTTCCGAATGGACTAAATCTGTAGTTGTTTCAACAGAAATGGATTGTGATCTTAAACGGACTTCGTTATGATTTTCATTTCTCTTGACAATATTGTAACATTCAAGGTTACACTAAAAATATTCCATGATGCCAAGACAGTTGCAGTATTTAAACTTTTATGCAATATTTAACACTATGAATGCATTAATATATGAGAAAGTAAATGACAGATTTAGCTTATATATCGTTCAAATATCTAATATATTTTCAATGTTTTTTTTTTGTTGGTATTTATTAGGGATGTCAACGAGTACTCGAATACTTGAGTATCGTTCGGTAGAACCGAGTATAGAATATCAAAATGATACAGGACTAATCGGTTTAGGACAGTGTCCCTGTTTTCATAAAATTGAGTTTCTAGTGAACGCAAACCAGATACTAGTAGTCAAGTAGTAATCACTGATTAATCGTAGTTCTAGTATGTTTCATGTGTTGTTCTACATTATCGTTTAAAAATGCCTCAGAAATTTTCTGTTTGGACATAATAACGGAGTCACGAGATGTATCTTTTAAAGTGGTGGGCTACACACGAGAACAGCTTTTCTGGGCCGAAACTGTCGGCTTAGTGAGCTATTAGCCATTCCCGCAATATCGGTAACGTTCCTGACACATTATTGTACTGTTTGTTTTCCCATTTTGTAGATATATTACCGATCAAGTACTCGAGTATCGCTCTGTAAAACCAACGAGCACTCGATTAGTAATTCTTCACCGAGTTGACATCCCTAGTGTTAAGAATGATTACGGAAATAATACCCATTCCACTTACTATGGTGGCTATTTTTTTTTATTCCAAACGTGCAACATATTCTTTAATCTGGTACGAATATCATGTAAATACATAAATACATGTTAGCAATGTACATTTCTTCATCATACAATTCAAGCAGTAAATTTGAAAAGAAATAGTTATGCAGAATAGCAAATAATGGTACAGACTACAGCATGTAACCGTTTGTCTTTTTGTTATAATTTATTTTACAAACAATTAATAAATATGCAAGATATATTGTCGCTGTATGAATAAAAGAATCTAAACATACTGGCGAAACTACATGTTTTGTCTACAAGATACAAGTCACAACAATACATAGCATTTGCAAACATAATTATTATAACAGATATAAATACAAATAAAATCTTACCAAAGAAATCTGCGCTAGCGCTGGTACTTCTGGTCAATACAAGCGATGTCATATTCTCTTTTCATTGAAGAGTAAAACCTTTGAACATTATATTCCACTTTATCACAATAGTATCATCGAACAATTCAAAACCGAAAACATGATGGAAGTTAATATCAATACTTTTAAAAACTAATCACCAAGGAATATTTTCTATAACTAAAATGTCCCATTAAAGTTTTAGAAATCTTATTGTCACTTTATCAACTGTAACTAAAGCAGTGCAAACATGGAGGCATTTTTATGTTTACAAAGTAAATATCTATATTGTTTTATGAAGCGTGTATCTGGTTATATTTGGGTAGCACTGTATCAATGTAAGATCAAGTTTAAATATTTTATTTCTATCTGAATAAACTTACAAAAAGGCCATCGACATATATTGTCTTTTTAACAAATATTATCAAATGAATCTATCTGAAAGAACATCTCTAGACCGTGTAAATTTAAAATTCGACCATACTCGTTCATCTCAAGGGGATATTTTATAATGCAGTTCGGTTTCTTAAATATTCTGTGCTCAATATTGTCACCAAAATATTTTAATAACTTTTGTACAAAAATGATAATATCCACTATAACATCGCAGTCATTTCATTTTCATTTCCACTTTAACACCAACGCCAGTTCATTGTAAATCCTCTTAAAACACCAAAGCTTGTTCATTGTAATTTTCAATACGTCGTCAGTTCATTTTCATTTCCACTTTAACACAGAAGTTAGTTCATTTTAATATCTTCTATAACACTGAAGTATGATAACATATCATATATATATAATTATGATGACAGAAAAGGCTTTAGACGAATGCAATTTATAAAGTGTTATTATCAAAGTTATGATAAACATAAGAATGCACGCGTCGTCTGAAAGTACAAGAGCACATTTACAGCAAAGTAATAAATTACTGCAATGGAAACAATCCATGACACAAAAAACGCTACATGCACACAAAAACAAAAGCAAAGGAACAGCAAAAAAGTCTTCTACCATGAGTGGATGGATACACTAGGTTTTATGCCGCACATGATCCAGATAAATGACATGTTATGAAATGTTGCAACAGTGAACATTTCATAGCTAGACATAAACATGAAATTGAAATTCTTTAACAGTCAGAGACGACAATTAATAGTTTCAAAGCAAATGTAATATCTAGTTTCTATCTTCAGTCAATAAATTGTCAGTGGTCTTACTCGCATGACTAATGAAGTAAAAACAACAGACGGTTACCCTGAATGTCGTCGCACCTAATCTTTTAGAGTTCCCCATATAAAAGTAAGGTGTTGTAGAATGATTTCCATGAGGCAACTATAGATACTGTTTATTATTCTTCCCTTAGTTTATTTATTTTATATTTACATTGTATCATAGATCAAATTTATTTATTCAGTGTATGTTCACTGGTGTTAATATGTCTTTTGATTGAGTTAAGCCATTTCAATTGATATTTTATAGTGTGTAATTCTATGTTGCGATGTTACACTATTGTTTCAGATAAGGTAGAAGGTTTGGTACCATTAAAACGTTTAAACCCGCTGCATTTGTTTGCACCTGTTCTAAGTCAGGAATCTGATGTTCAGTGGTTTTCGTTTGTTGATGCGGTTCATAAGTGTTTCTCGTTTTTCGTTTTTATATAGATTAGACCGTTGGTTTTCCCGTTTGAATGGTTTTACACTAGTAATTTTTGGGCCCTTTATAGCTTACTGTTCGGTGTGAGCCAAGGCTCCGTGTTGAAGACCGTACTTTGACCTATAATGGTTTACTTTTATAAATTGTGACTTGGATGGCGAGTTGTCTCATTGGCACTCATACCACATCTTCTTATATCTAGACCAAAAGATAAAGATGAAAATAATTACAGGTACAAATGAACCTGAACAAACAAAAACCGTACAGTAGACTATAAATAGCTAATGAAAAAGTGTGAAACTATTCAAAAGAGAAATTATACGGTCTCATTAAAACAATATAAATTAACGAAAACAAATATGACAAATCAACGACAATCACTAGATTACAAGTTCCGTGATTGTGACAGGCACAAAACAGTTTGGCGGGGTTTAATTGTTTGTAGACGCTCAACTTTCCCTCATATCTGGGACAGATGTGTAACAACACACACAAATAAGAAATAAAAAAAAAAATATTTGTAAAAGGCTAGGCTCTTCAACTTCGTACTTTATTTGGCCTTTTTTACCTTTTGATTCGAGCGTGACTGATACGTTTTTTTCAATAGACGAAATGCGCGTCTTGCATACAAATTTTTTAATCCTGGTATCTATGATGAGTTTATCTTTCAAATTTAGAACGTCACTACAGACACAGGCATAAAAACGAGTTCGGAAATATACAAACCGTAAGAAGAGACCAAATGAATATCTACATGTACGTCCAAATAATTGTTTGAATCTGCACTTTGATGTTTGAAGTGATACATGTACACCTTCATATTGAATTTCCATATAAATTTTAAATAGCAACTTTTTAATTGTAGATGAAAAGTAAATAAGTCTTTGAAGGCTAATATATTTTTTACGTTGGCATTTATTACAAATCTGAACTACTTTTATTATTGTAGTCAAAGGGAAACAACTGGAAACAAAACAATTGCACGAATACTCATTTTATAAGTAAAAAATGCATATAAAATAAATTAACAAATTTATAAAAATAATATATGTCTTAAAATTCAATCGTTTGAAACAAGTACATGTTTGAAGTTTGGATTTCATTTTTATATCTCTCATCTAAAACTGATATACTAAACAATAAAAGTTTGCCAAAAAAGTTGAAAATTTACACTAAACAGTCTTTTGACGGCTAGACAAAATTGGTGTTAATATAATATTCTCGTAAACTTGCAAAACCATTACATTTCTAAGGATACAAAAATATGTCCTCCATTGCGTTTCAGCTGTTCTTAATGATAAGGTTAAAATCAGCTTATATGGAAACAGAGTCTTCCATCGAACCCCAAGATGAATTCGAAAGGAAGAAGTCTATAAAAACTGACAAAATCAAATGTTATCAACCAACGGAACAAATGAAAAACAACTGTCACATTCCTGACTTGGTACATGCATAAATCAAAGCATCATCAGTGTACCGATGTTCAAATCTCATAAATCGATTAAGTAGATACAAATCAGGGTAACATACAAAAACATAGGGAATCTCATGAAAAGAGCGAGACCGGTTGCGTGGACAGTGTAAGCGTCTCCTGATATGCATGCATCATCCGCCATGTCAAAATCGGGACTATGACACACTCGGTAAAATTACAGATCAGACGACTATTCTGGTATCTAAAGATATAAGATCGCAAACACATGTCGCTAATGAGTTGATACACATCTTATTGGTTAACCAAATCATGACGGTAACCGTGAAATGTATGAATTGTCGATTTTATTCGGTCTTCCTCATATCTCTGTTGAAGAAGCAGTTTTTATGTAAGGAACAAACCACTGTTATTCAAGTCCGTATAGTGTGCACATGCACGAGCGAATCGTATAAATTGAGATTTGTAAACGCCATTCAATGGTGCAGAGGGTATGTTACTGCTGAGAAATCGAAGAAAAGATCAAGATATGAAGCAGACCTTCTAGTTCTAGTAATATTCTTAGTTTAAACAATTTTTAGTCGGATACATCATCACATAAAAATAAAATACATCTGAAAGAAACAAGCAAAGTTGCTTTTACAAATCTGTTTCCTAGTGTCCGTTAGAATATCGTCTGTCAGTTGGAATACCAATTCGAGCGGTAGGGATGCACAATGAGCGTTCGTTAGAATATCGTCTGTCTGTTGGAATACCAATTCGACCAGTAGGAATGCACAATTAGCGTCCATTAGAATATCGTCTGTCTGTTGGAATACCAATTCGATCAGTAGGAATGCACAATTAGCATCCGTTAGAATATAGTCTGTCTTTTGGAATACCAACTCGACCAGTAGGGATGCATGATTAGCATCCGTTAGAATATCGTCTGTCTGTTGGAATACCAATTCGACCAGTAGGGATGAACAAGTAGCGTACGTTAGAATATCGTCTGTCTGTTGGAATACCAATTCGACCAGTAGGGATGCACAATTAGCATCTGTTAGAATATCTTCTGTCTGTTGGAATACCAATTCGACCAGTAGGGATGCACAATTAGCATCAGTTAGAATATCTTCTGTCTGTTGAAATACCAGGTCCACCAGTAGGGATGCACAATTAGCATCCGTTAGAATATCGTCTGTCTGTTGGAATACCATTTCGACCAGTAGGGATGCACAATTAGCGTCCGTTAGAATATCGTCTGTCAGTTGGAATACCAATTCGAGCAGTAGGGATGCACAATAAGCGTTCGTTAGAGTATCGTCTGTCTGTTGGAGTACCAATTCGACCAGTAGGGATGCACAATTAGCACCCGTTAGAATATCGTCTGTCTGTTGGAATACTAATTTCACAAGTTGGGATGCACAATTAGCATCCGTTAGAATATCGTCTGTCTGTTGGAATACCAATTTTACCTTGTATATTATATTGTTTATTTATGTATTTCTCTGTGCTGAGTGTTCTTGCGTTTGTTTGTACTGTATTCCTGTCGCGTAGTGTTGTCATTTTAGTGGTAATTTTAACATTGCCATATAAGCGGGAGGTTTGGCTAGCCATACAACTATGTTCAACCCACCGTTTTGTCTAGCCATACAACTAGGTTCAACCCACCGTTTTGTCTTAAAATATCTGTACTAAGTCAGGAATATGGCAGTTGTTATCAAATAGTTCGTTTTATATGTAGGTTGGCGTTTCTGTTGTTCCGTTGATTTCCTCTTA